TTGTTGTATCATACAGTTGTCTCATGTTTCCCTCTCTTGCAGCCTTTTCCGCTGTCATCGCTAAATCTTCCACATATTTACGTCGGTCGGTCCTGATGCTCCTCTTCACTTGCTTGTTTGCCTCTGTGTATTCGGCTTGTGCCTTGGCTTTTTCTGCTCTTGTTCGGCTGATATTGATTGCTACCTTCTTGTTCCTCCTTGCTTCAATTTTATCCAGTGTACCAACAGTGATCCATTCCTTGTGATGGTGCTTCTTTTGGCCCAGAACCTCCTGACATGTTGAAACGATTGCCTCCTTGATACCTTTCCAGCTGCTCTCTATGGTGGTTCCCTCTTCATTGAGTAGGTTATGAAAGGCCTGGAACCTGTTGCTGAGGGCTATGTTAAATTCGTTGAGTTTGTCAGCATCTCGAAGAAAGGCCGTGTTAAACTCGCTAAAAAAACGCTAACCAGAAAAATGAACCATATAGCAGTGACTAATTATTCCTTATATAGGTAATGCTTTCTGACGATCCTTATACAGGCAATGACGTAATTTTGAATTTCCATCATTTCTCGCTTTGAATTTGAACAGTCCATGGGATTGTCTCCTAAGTTCAGATCCATCTTGTTCAGTTTGTTATCGGCTGCATGCTCTGGTTGGCATGTTTTCATCTTTTAGTCTTATACTTTTTCAAGCAGTCTTTCGTCGGACATTCATACTCATGTGGTATGGGCGTTTCTGTCATTTGGGGACCATGATCATCTCGATGATGACGATTTATCTCTTTGTTTATTGAGAAAATTCGGTTGAAATTCTCATTTAGGTTTATTTATTTATGTATTCGAACAAAAATTGGTTCAAAGGGACACCAAATACATATGTGCTACATAATAACAATGAGGCCAGTAGCAGTTATCATTGATTTGTGTGGGTGCTGTGGTACTGCCTGGGCGCCCAAACCGAAACGGGTCTCATTTAATTAAATACTAGCCCTATTTTTCCTATTATACGCGGTTTATACGTACCAAATCTGTCTAGTTTTACTACATTGCGTGCTTATCCAATCTATACGAAGTTGTTTAAGCGTCTCCATATTCATCTCCATTTCCCTTAACCAACTTTTAATGCATACTTTCCTTGAGTTGTCCTTAATTTCTATATTAATATTCATCACCTTATGCATAATATTTCCCATCCTGTTTTGGTGTTTACCATTAATCTAGTCTGTTCTGCCTTATTTTTTCCAGCTACATTTGGTAACTTTGTACTCTCTTTAAACTCATTTACTGTTATCTGCTTTCTACTACTAATTCCTAATACCATACGTCATGAAGTGTTCAACTCTATCTCTAGCTTTGACGCATTCTTTTGGCTTAATACTATTGTTTCTAGCCCGTATATTAGGAGGGGTGTTATTACTGTTCTTATCGGCTTTGTTTTTGTTACTATGCCAATATTATCTGACCTTGTAGTTGGTCTTGTTTTTTTTATCATCGCATGTCTTTAATTACATTTTCTTTAATCGCCTCATCTTGTAGACCACTTTCTTACAATTGGACCCTAGTATTTAAATTAGCTCATACTTTCGATCATTACATTGTCTGTCTGTACCATTTCATCGTCTTCACCTTCATTTATGATCATCGTCTTGGTTTTCTTATGGGGTATTTTGATGCCAATTCTTTCAAGTTAGTACATTGTGAAGTAATAATCTGTTCCTACCTGATGCCCTTTTGGGTCACCAAGAGCTTTCTCTACACTTTCTTGTATGTTTGTGGGTAGTTTTAACTCGTTTATGGTCTTCATTAGCAATTCCTTTGGAACTGTATCAAATACTCTGGTTAGGTCAATAAATGCAAAAACGATTTTGGTTTCAGTATCTGTAGCTCATTGTGTTATATACCTAATAGTTGTGATTACTTGCTCTGTAGGCATGCTTCTTTGGGAGCCTAATTGTGTTAATGGTAACAACTCATTTTTTGTCATTCATTCGGTTACAAACCGCTTTAGCTTATACCTTTCCTGTGTTGTCAAAAAGGAAAGACTTCTGTAATTGTTTGAATTATTTCTGTCTCTTTTGTTTTTATTTAAACTTATAACATCATCTATCTTGTGCGTTGGTATTGTGCCTGGGTTTTCCCAAAATCCATTCATTTGACTTCCGTCTTCCGCGATAAGGCCCTTTCAAGAACGGAGCTAACACGTCGAAAACCTCCCACAAAAAGGCAGTGCGTGAAAGGCCGCAAGCAGTTGTCCTTTGGGCTTTGTGGTCACGCTCCCAGGTCGTTAAGATCAACTTCCTTTTCAGGTCCCTCAAGAAATATCCTTCCACGGTGTGGACAGCCGAGAGGTAATATTAGCCCTCATACCCGTAACAGCACATGAAACCAAGTTGGTCACTTTCAAATCCTTCCTACATCTCGTAATAACTCTCTTACCTCCTCGACTAACCCTTTTCACGTGCATTTATCACCTCGTACCGCTAGGGCAACCGATTCGAGTACACGGAACGTTATTCCTGGCCTTCTGAAACCACGCTCTAAACTGCATGTAGGAGCTTTCAACGTCCGAACATTGTGCCAAATAGGACAACAGGCTTCCTTAGCTAGGACTCTAGAATCTTACACAATCGATGTATGCTGCGTCTCCGAAACGCGCATACAAGATCCGAGTAGTGTCATTCATTTGACCGCACCTAATCAAAATAAAGTTTCATCTCGATACACGCTTCGTGTATCTGGAAGCCCTGATGCTGCTTCCCGTGGCCTCGCTGGCGTACACATAGCATTAAGTCCTAGGGCAGAACTAGCACTTTTAGACTGGATCCCAGTAGACAGTCGTCTATGCGCTGTCCGACTAAACGGATCAGTAAGGACTCGGAGAAATAGGGACACTCGTCGTTGCCTCTTCGTCGTCTCTGCCTACTCTCCCACTGACTGCAGCTCAGACGATATAAAAGATGAGTTTTACAGGGAACTTTCTGACCTTCTCCGAGAAGCTAGGCGTTCTGATGTAGTAATAGTAGCAGATGACTTTAATGCTCAAGTAGGTAAACTAAGTGAAAGGGAAAGACACCTGGGTGGATCTTATGGTGTCATGGCGGAAAGAACAGATAATGGCGACCGTCTGTTGCAGCTATGCTCAGATAACCGCCTATTTCTTGCAAATACTAACTTTAAGCATAAGGAAAAACATCTTTTGACATGGCTACCCCCGAATTCGTCCCAACGTCCCACTGATGGAGGGGCTGGGTAGAAGACTGTCTCTCATTCTGGGGCACATGTTTCGATTCAGATCATGCTCTAGTGCGAGCACGTATCTGTCTGTGTCTTACTGGACTTAGGAAAGACACTGCAAGCAAACCTCTAAGGGTTCTACTTAATGATAGGCAAGCTAAGAATATATTTCAGGAACAACTGGAAAAACAGTTAGGCAGCCATGTAAGTTGTGCCCAACACGAGGGAGCGTGGAATGACATCCGAAAAGCTGTGGAAACAGCAGTGATATCCGCTAGTGAGGTAAACCATAAGGTTAGGGAGAAACAATGGATCTCGACAGCATCTACCGCACTGATAGATGCTCGAAAACTCATCCCACCTGGCTCTGAGCATAACGAAGAGCGGAGTCAGCTTAAGCGAAGGCTAATAAGAAGCCTACGCAATGGTCGTGAACAGTGGTGGGTAGCGAAAGCAAGAGAGATGGAAAAGGCAGCGGCAATAGGTAACAGCAGACAACTATTCAAACTTGTTAAAGAAACTGGTGTTAGGAACCCGAATATCAGTGAAACCATCTCAGAAAAAAATGGATATATATTATCCATTCTCAATCCAGGAGATTGGATCGACGGGCAGAACACTTTAGGGATCAGTTCAACTGGCCTTCAGCCACACTTCGGTTTCCCACGATACCCAGTCAACCTGAATGGCGAGTTAATGTAAATCCTCCAACTCTTTACGAGGTTGAAAAAGCTGTAGGAAGTCTGAAGCGTTGGATAGCAGCAGGCCCTGACAGGTTTACCTCTGAGACTTTTAAGGATGGCGGTACAGTACTAACAGCCAGATTAACTGAGGTCTTAGGTAGAATCTGGGAACTGGACGTAATTCCATCTGACTGGTCCCAATCACTGATTGTGCCAGTCTATTAGAAAGGGAAAAAGTCCTCTCGTAACACTCACAGAGGGATCAGTTTGACTAATATAGTATCTAAAATATTAGCTTCAATAATACTTCGGCGCCTAACGAAAGCTCGTGAAGAGCAGACTAGAGAAAATCAAGCTGGTTTCCGACCTGGAAGTGGTTGTATAGACTAGATATTCACTCTACGTCAGGTCCTAGAACATGAACACACATTCAGACGTCCCTTACTAATTACTTACTTTCGCCTGTTACTCCCAATCGAGCATAGCCCGCATAATAGGACGTAACGGCCGTCCAGTGCTTCCAGATTTTCCATGGTGGTCTAGCTTCAATCGACTCATGATTTCAACTTTGAAAAATTCACTTTTGTCAAACAAGTATACTATGTACTCGTTCGTTCATTTATTTAATGATAATGCTTGTCACCTGGTTTGCTCGGTACTACCCTGTTAACGGGACATAGATTGGATTAAAGCATGTTCCATGCATGATTGTATTGCTGCACGCTGATTAGCTAATTCTTATCCAATCAGCGCTAGTCGATGCTAGGAGAAGACTCTAGAATCTTCTCATGTAAAAACTATAAATATACTAACGTATTTCTTATTGCGCTTCTTACTTCCATCTATCCTTGTTATTCGGAATATAATTTCTTCCCTGTTCAACCGTGTTCTGATTTGGGGACTCGTCGAGTGTATTGGTGTCCAAGAATACTAAGCAATAGGAATAGATGGATTGTAATAAGGAGAAATATATAACAGTTATAACATACCCATAAAGCTCCTAAGGTCCATAAACTTCGTAACTCATTTCGAATTGGGTTTTTGAGATTAAAAGTTACTTATTAATTCCCCGTTTTCTATAATATTCTTTCATTTTAGATAACCCAGCAAACTGAACCTCTAACAAGACTACATTATCTGTCATTTGTTTTATGATTACAAAACAAGTTTCTGTGTATATAATCAGCCAGCATAATAGGAACTATACCTTTAGCGCTGAAAACAATTTCCAATGCGTATTCCTCATTACTTAATTGTCGGTGGTGGTTTATCCGGTCTAGTTACTTCTTACCTCATCTCATTAACTCGACCATTGGGAAGTTACCGTTTAACAGTTTTGGAGAGTAGCAGTAGGTGGGGTGGTTGGATTCAGTCGGTTAAAAATATGGATACTGGATCAATCTATGAAATCGGTCCACATAGCGCTCGTGCAAAATCTGCCACATCAGGTCTTTTGATGAGAATAGTAAAAAGTTTGCATCTTGAAAGCTCACTTGTTTGGATGAGGCAGGGTACAGATGGAGCGAAGCAATTAATGTATATAAATGACCAACTGTTGCCAATGTCTGCCTTCAATTTCTCCACTTTAAAACCATTCACTAGGTCCACTTGTAGTTTAATCATCAGGCGGTTATTTTCTCGACGCCCACCGTCTCAGTCAGACTGGACTGTTGATGAATTCCTTCGCTCTCGTCTTGATTCCGAATTTGCTGACTACTTTGGCAGTGCTCTGATGAGAGGTATCTTTGCTGCTGATTCACGAAACCTTAGTGCTCGTGCTTGTTTGCCTACGGTAAGTCACCTGTTTATTAATAAGTTCAAGAATACAACTGTAACAGTTTAATTATAATATTCCCTACAGTTTTTGTTGTATATTCTCATTTTTATTTATCGCATCTACTGAAAAATATGATGTTCGAGGTTATTGGTCTAAAAAAGTGGCAGGTTCAGAATCACTATTGATTTTTCAGAGATATTTTACAGTTTTTCAAAGCATATACATCTAACAGATTAATAGATTTGATTTGCTTTTGTAACAACTGTTTTCTGAAATATGTATTAATCCTCTCAACATCCTGTAAGTTTCAAGTAAAACAGTTTCTAGGAGTGCTATTAAGTTACTTCGACGTAATTTTGAAATAGGTTTATTTTCTGAGCGTTTTCATTACTATCAACTTTTCCATTATAGATTATTATTATTTAAACACATAAATATTGGTACAAGGAAGCACCAGATAAATATGCGCCTCACAAATCTCATTCGATTTGTGTAAGGGCTGTGATACTGCCCAGGTGCCCAGACTGAAGCAGGTGGTTTTCTTAGGGGGCCACACCCGGAGCCTTTGACCTGAATGTCTGATCCACAAGGCAGTGGAGCATCGTGAGGAGATGCAGTCCCATGGTAGCCGGTGATCAACGGTTGATTCGTACGCCATTTGTTCCCTCAGGATACTGGAGCCCATGTGCACCATCGGTTTGGAATCAGGGTTTTCCAACTCCCCTAAATGAATTCGCCTTGTCCACCAACCCGGTTAAAGCGCCGGACATTCGCTTTTCGTCTTCTCACTTTCGTAAACAGCACCCCCGCCACGAGAAGGCAGTGAGTAGGACTTCCCTGACAGAGGCTATATATTCGCTGGCCATATGAGAGCATTTCGAGAGGGAGAGGTGACTCTCCCCACTCTCGGCCGTACCAGGGCATTTGGGGGCAAGCGATGTAGAAGAAATATTAATCGACATCATCCTTCAAGTAAAATGTTCTTTTCAGCTTAGTTGTGGTTGAGACGACTACCTGATGAAGCTTAATCTCCAGGTATTTGTGTAGGTTGTTTAAATCATTAGTTTACCAGGTTATGGGTTTTTAATGCTTCCATTTGTTTTTTTGACTAAATGTTTATGACATCATCTTATTGTATATTCTTTCAGATGGTGAAGTGGGAAGAATATGGACCGAATCTTATTCTCGGGATTTTACTTTCACGGATAAACCGATCTTTAGATCGTATCGTTATACCGAATATGATTGACGACAAACTCCCGCAACTGAATAACTTGATGCCATCTGATGCGATTGCTTGGAATTTGTCAGGCGGATTGGAGACATTGATTGACACTATTGTAGATCATTTAAGTAGGAAACATCCACACATCAATTTGCAGTTAAACTGTTCCGTTGAAAAAGTAAAATCTGTAAATGGTTGCTTTGAGTATACTTACAAGGGCATCGGTGATAATGGTAACGGCAAAGAAAAAAATACAGCTGATATAGTCTTTTTTTGCTGTCCGTCCTTCATTACAGCAAGTATTTTGGAAAACATACTGACTACTGATATTCTAAGCTATCTGAAACCCGACTGTATTCCATGGGGAAGTGTTGTCAGTGCTGTCCTAGAAATAGATGACTCCTTTACTCCCTTAGTACGTGGGTTCGGGCACTTAGTACCGCGTACGGAAGATGAGCATATTTTGGGTGTAATATACGATTCCTTTGCATTCCCGAAATTGGATGGATTTAATAAAAAATTACGATATACAGTGATGATGAAACCACTTCGTGAATGGCTCGAAGCCTCCACAAGTTCAGGTTCCTCAGAACACCTGGAAAACACCATTGAAGAAGTTGCAAAAACCGTCCTTATAAACCATCTTAAAATACCGGATCCGGTCATTGTTGGTCGTCATATTAGTATTCTCCGTAACTGTATTCCCCAGTATCCTCCAGGTCATTTAACTAATATGGCTAATTTGCGCAACGGCATTCGGCGAATTTCGAGTGGCCATAGTTCTGGCCGAAGTGGTATATATCTTGTTGGTAATTCGTACGATGGCGTTGGGTTGAATGATGCTGTCTATAGCGCTGCGTGTGCAGTTGCAGAAGAGTTCAGTTCATCTTCCTGAAGATAGTTTTTAAAAACATTTACTGTTCACAAACCTTCAAATTATGTACAATAGTTTACTTATTGATAGTACTAAAGTATGAAGACGTCTGCTAGAAGATTATGGCTGTAAAATAAACCATGTGCATTAAAAAAATCCTGTTTCCGGTTTTTCAGCACTTAGCAGGATCTTGCAAAATTGTAGTATATCATTAGAATGGTTATCATGTAGTGGAAATAAATCCCCACTAAGTGTTTTGTTATTTTTTGAACGGAGTGTTTTGGAAACTGAATTGAATAATTGGGGACGAAGGTGGGTATTCTTTGATTAGGGAGCTTCTGTAATTAGAAGTTGTTTGGCGTATGGGAAGAAAACTATAGAACTGACAGATCTTGATTATCAATGAGGACAGTGAGTTAGTTATCAAACCGAACCGAAACAGTTAGTTTTCTTATGAGGACCACTCCCCTACCTCTTGACCTAGAGGTTTAATCCACAAGCCAATGGAGCAAGGTTGGGAGATGCGTTCCATTTGTTCCCTCAGGATTCTGGGGTCCATGTTCACCATAGGTTTAGAATCAGGGTTTACCAACTCGCTTAGTTGGATCTTCCATACCCGCCAATCCGGTTTAAGCACTAGATATTAGCTTTTCATCTTCTCAATTTTCTAAACACAAGAAGGTAGTGAATAGGACTTCCCTGCCAACGGCTACATACTTGTGACCGTATGACAGTGTTTCGAAAGGGGGAGTGAACTCTTCTAACCCTCAGTCGTACCAGGTCACTTGCATAAGCTAACTACGTTAAGAGTACGTTGTATTAAGTTCACTTGATATTATTTGGTTGAATCTTCCCATTGACGTTTAGAACTGCAATTGATCAGTCTCTTATTGATCATATGTGCATATTATGCACTCAGTAGCTAAGTGAATAACGCGACGGCATTTGAAGCGAACGGTACTGGGTTCCAGTCCCAGAGTGAATATCAACTCTGAGATACAGGTACATCCAACTGACGAGTCCCAAATAGGACTATATGCGCGTCCTGGATCCCACTGCTAGCCACTATCCATCTTTGCTTATAGTACGTTGTATTGTCTAGCAAACCTAAGTCTCTAGTCACTTCAGTTCTTCAATTGTGGGATGCAATTCTACAAAGGGAACTTAAAATTGTTAGCCTGACTCATTTTATAAAGTCCTTGATCTTTGACTGTTCGATACCCCCAATGTCCTTTAAGAAGGAAAACTAGTTCCAGGTGAATATTACATTTTCTCTGCCATCTCAACTTAGTATTCCATTATTTTGCTAACAAATGCTTGTTAAGTGGTCGTCTAGTAAATCTATTGTTCCTGATATTAATCTGTTCAAATTCACTTGACTTTATCCGATCTTGCAATAAAGTGTACCCCTATATCGTAATAAGGATCGGTTATCGTCATGGGATTCCCCTTCTTTCATGATATAAATGTGTCAGTCACGTACGTAGCGTCCTGTTTCATTCAGTTATAAATTCTTTCCTTCATTCTTGCGTTTTTTAGCTTTATTCCTTGGGTCTTTCCATTTCTGTAGTTGTTAGTGAGTACTTTTTGACATTAATTTTCCCTATGCACAAACTTATCTTCATGTACCTTAAAACATTTTGAAAGTATTCACTCGAGTTAACATAATTGTTCAATTCTAGAACAGATAATTTTTCTACTATTTAATGCCTTCATTAATATACTATACAGTTTGTACATCGGTTTTACCAAGTTATTATTATTGTTTCTAGGTTGTAAGCAGCTGACGGGAATTCATAAAATAAATGGATTTATATTATTCTACTATGATTGTTTTTGCTTTATTTAGATTTATAAGTGAAAAAATTCTGTGAGATAGTAGAACTAAAGACTTCAATGTTTTTCATGAGAATGGTTTATGTGTGGGTAAAAGTGAGTAATTAAGTGAATTCGCTGTGAAACTGGCAGGAAATGGAGGAGCAGCAGATGCGGTTTTCAAACCTACATGTAATTATGCTGATAACTTCCAGCTATTACTTCAGAAACAGCTTATTTACTTACGCCTGTTACTCCCAATGGAGCATAGGCTGCCGACCAGCATTCTCCAACCCACTCTGTCCTGGGCATTTTTTTCTAGTTCTATCCAGTTTTTGTTCATTCTCCTCATGTCTGTCTCCATTTCTCGGCGTAATGTGTTCTTTGGCCTTCAGGATTCCATGTGAGGGCTTGTCTTGTGACGCAGTTGGGTGATTTCCTCAAAGTGTGCTCAATCCATTTCCAGCGCTTCTTCCTCCACTCGAATCTGGTTTGTACTCTCCCACAGTAGAATGTTGCTGATGGTGTCTGGCCAACGGATCCGAAGTTAATCAACACTTGTATCTTCTGGATGATGGCCCTCGTAGTTCTCTAGGTTTCCGCCCCATACAGTAGAACTGTCCTGACACTCGTATTGAAAATTCTGATCTTGGTGTTGGTTGACAATTGTTTTGAGCTCCAGATGTTTTTCAGCTGTAGGTATGCTGCTCTTGCTTTGCCGATCCTCGCCCTCACATCTGCATCTGATCCACCGTGTTCATCAATGATGCTGCCCAGATATGTAAAGATTTCCACATCCTCCAAAGCTTCTCCGTCAAGTGTAATTGGATTGGTGCATGTTGTATTGTATCGGAGAGTCTTGCTTTTCCCTTTGTTTATATTGAGACCTACTGCTGCTGAGGCTGCTGCTACACTGGTCGTTTTCTCCTGCATTTGTTGTTGCGTTTGTGATAGAAGAGCCAGATCATCCGCGAAGTCTAAATCGTCAAGCTGCATCCTGCCTGTCCACTGTATCCCGTGCATTCCTCCAGATGTTGACGTCTTCATAATCCAGTCGATCACCAGGAGAAAGAGAAAGGGTGAGAGTAGGCAACCTTGCCTAACACCGGTCTTTACCTCGAACGAGTCGGTGAGTTGTCCTCCATGAACGATTTTTCAGTTTCATCCATCATAGGAATTCCGTATGATATTGACTATCTTCTCAGGCACACCGTAGTGTCGAAGAAGCCTCCATAGTGTTGTCCTGTCCACGCTATCAGATGCTTTCGCGTAGTCAATGAAGTTGATGTACAGTGATGAATTCCATTCGATTGGTTGTTTCACAATGATACGTAGAGTTGCGATTTGGTCTGTACACAATCGATTCTTACGGAATCCAGCCTGTTGATCTTGAAGTCGGGCGTTTACGGAATCCTTCATTCTGTTTAACAATACCCTGTTGAACACTTTCCCTGGTATTGAGAGAGGAGTGATGCTTGAAAACGAAGAGTTATTGTAAATGTTTATCATGCATCCTTTCCAATATATCTGACTGAAATTAATCAGGTCTTGGTTTAATTGCTCAAGTAAAAGTAACATGTGAGACTTAATATTCTTCAACTAGTTCCCATAGAATCAATGATGAACACTATTGTGAAGTTCTAAATCGAAACAAAACGACTGTTTAGTTTTTGATAAGTTGACAGAGGTTATTCAGTTGATGTTAATCTATTGTGAAAACTACGTTCATGGGTAATATTACCAGAAACCAACCAGTTTAATAATAAGTGCTAGTAGTTCACTAAGAAAACTTATGTGAAATTAAAGTTATAATTTAACATTACTTTGTGCGGTTAAACTTGTTTGTTTTGATATAATGTCTTTTTAAAAAAAGAGGTCAGTGGCATGCGATTTATTTAGGTTAACTTTAATTAATATCAGAAGGGGTTTTAGTGGATATTATAGTAATTTTAATAGTTGAGATCATGAGTCAATTGAAGCTAGACCACCATGGAAAACCTGGAAGCACTGGACGGCCATTTCGTCCTATTGTGGTATTTCCTGGAGTTCCAGTGAGAAGCAGTGACCAGTGGAGTTCAACTAGGTCTCTTGTGAGATAGTAACTCACTGAAGACAATGGCGAAATTGTCGCTCAATTTCGTGGATCGGTTGAAGTTAGACATTAACACCGTTGGATGCCGGCCAGCTCAGTGGCCTAGAGGTTAAGTACTCGCGCGCGAGACTGATAGGTCCTGAGTTGGAATCTCGCGAGACATGATCATGGATGCGCACTGCTAAGGAGTCCCACAATATGACGAAGCGGCCTTCCAGTGCTTCCAGGTTTTCCATGGTGGTCTCGCTTCAATTGATTCATGATCTCAACTATTGAAGTTAACTTTAATTGTTAAATTTTAAATCTCTTTTTATCAGTGGTTTTATGTCAGGACCGGTGGGTTATTGATGTCGAGTTATTATATTGAATGTTATTTCATCAAAGAGTTTTAACTGATGATAAGAAAGATGTGAATCTCATGATCTTCATTCAGGAAGTGGTTGTGGTGCTATAATGATACAGTATACATTAAGGTTGAGGTGAATATTATATGTACTCAAATGACTACAATGAAGCTATAATTTCTCAATTAATATATATATATATTAGGAACTGAGTTTATAGAGCATAGTGTAGCTCTAATCACCCAACACGTGATTTTTCACTGACTTCTCAAATATTCGATTATGATTTTGATAAAAATACATTTATTATATAAATTTCACGCTAGGGGAATTGAAGAAATGGGACAACTCATGAATGTGAAATTATCTCGATATAATACTGGTCAGAATAGTAAGGTAACATAATTATTTCTATGATATAGATGAGCTGTTGTACGAGATTCTCATTGATATCCTTAGGGGATATTTCTTTCGTGCCCCTATTTTCATGCTAAGTTTACTGCTTAATTAAAGGTTATACTTGGTCTTACTTATTCATGTGATATTTTCTAACTATAATTAATCGTTATATGTCACTTGGTTTAATTATTACACCGAAAACTCTTCCGTACTTATCCTTCTTTTCACAAAACATCCAAATTTATTTACCTAATATTAAACTTTATTACATTTACTGAGTGTAGCTTTTTATTAATTTGTGTTCCTTTCATGTCCACTTTGAATCAGAACCTTTATAGGTAGAAGTTTCATAAAATAATCAAAAGTGATCATAATGACATTTCTTTTTACTCAATATCAACTTTTAAATATGTGATAAAACAAATAGTGAAGAAGTAATAAATATTGCACTAAGAGTGACTTGTTTTACATTTTCCTTTTTTTTCAATAAACATGTCTTAATTTTTTCGATTCCGGTACAATTTTATTGTCAAATATATATTCACCAGTTTTATTAATATTTCTTGATTTTGTTGATTTTTTCATTTGCTGGAGACATGAAGTGGTTTGGTGTTTATTTAATAGACCCATGCGCGAAAATGTCCTATCACAATGTAGACATTGATAACGTTTTACTTCAGAATGTGTTTGCATATGTGCTCTTAAATTAGATCTATCAGCAAATGCTCTGGTGCATATCATGCAAGCAAATGGTTTTTCACCTGTATGAGTTCTTAAATGTCCGTTTAATAGCCACATCCGTGAAAATGCTTTGCCGCATAAATTACATTTACACGGTAATGTATGCGTACGTACATGCATTTTCAATGCAGACATTGAATAATAGACTTTATTACACAAATGGCAGAAATATGGATGACCATAATGATGATTCGGTACAGATGTCACTGTTGTTGTTGAGGTCATTGTAGAATTCATTTTACTTGAATAATCACTATTACCATCTTTGTTTCTACTGCTAGAGATCGAAGAAATAACACTAAACACTGTTGATGAGTTACCACCAGTATTTAGCAAAACATTTCGTGATTTATTCATGCCACACATATTTTGATATACTTTACCATTTTTGTTGTCATGAATCACTAGTTCATTACTTTCTGTTACATTGACTGATGATGATGAAGTTATAGGAACATCTGGTGAATTTGCCTGTCTCAAATATTGAGTAGTATGCAAACTATTTATATGTTTTAATAGGCTAATTTGTGTAGAAAATGTGTGATTGCATAGGCGACATTTGAAACGCTTATTTCTTGTGTTATTTCCTGATTTTTTAGTACCAGAAACTTTGGTGCTATGATCAGGTGTAGAATTTTCGACTACATTTTTTGATGTATTAATTAATTCCAAGATTGAAAATTTAGGTTTTTTAACCCAAGGTGATGATGCGTTTAGTTGTTCATCTTGAGAAACATTAACTACCGAATCATGATTGTCATTATCGCTTATATTACCTTTGGTAGAAAACAAAGTGGGATCCACAGAAAATTTGGATTGTAACGTGTTTAAATTACTTATCACAGACGACTGGTGCATTAATTCCATATAAGGATTATTTATGCTCAATAAGTTTTTCAGTGTATTCAATATAGATGAAATATCCTTTGGATTATAGTAATTATTTAAATAAGGATTTGCAATTAACGATTCATTTATTTTTGTCGGTGGCTGGTCGACAGACAAGGTATTAATGGTTCCACACTGTTGCATAGTCTCTCTTGAATTCCCATTTGTTGACAGTACTGATAAGTCAATAGGTTTCATTGATGAATTAACTGCTACCATGTCTTGTGTAGATATCAATTTATCATCATTACGGAAATAATCATTATTGACTTGATATTGTTGTGTAGGATCTTTTTGTCCAAGTGAATTAGTAGAACATCCGTCAAAAAACAAATTCCATAATGCCAAATTATTCAGTAAAGAGTTCGAATTCAAGTGTTCCGATGTCAATTTCAGGTTTTCCGCGTAAATATTGCGCTGAGTAACACTTTCTAAAAACGTGGAAATATAAATTAAAATTGTTAAGATATTAAATAGTATTGTTATGTATAAAGATAATTTATATTCTGTATTAATCTATAGTGGTACTTGATAGAAAAAGAGTTGATAAAAATTTGTTTAAGATTCTATTAACTCGACAGACTACGTAGTTATTTTTCATGAAAATCCAGATAATTTTTAAGTAATTGAGTAGACCAAATGAAGATGCGAGAAAGTTCAAAAGCTGTAAATTACGAGTAGTATCCTTTTGAAAAATAAGTTATTGTACAAAGAACGTTCGTGTAAATAACAAATATTTTGAGATGGTGGAGAAAATTTGTAACTCAGGTGGATGATTTAGGTGGAATTTTGTTCTCTCAGCAACCTACCTTCTACCTAGAGTTTGTGCTGTTGATGTTATTTCGAAGAACAATGAAAGCTCCACAACCAAACCATCTAGATCAGAGAACAAAACTCCACCTAAAACAAATATTTCCTCATCATAAACTGAGTGGTAAAATTTGAATCTGATTATCAAAAAACTGAAGTATCGAATTTGACTGTGGATCTTTGCAAATCTTATTAGAATATTGGGTGATTAATATTTCAGACAGAAAATTACTTACAATTGTGGGAAGAATGATTACATTTCAAGACTTACAATGAAGTAGATTTTACTAATGTCCTCTTTTCTACTGAATATGTTTATCTCCAAACTTTGCGAATAAAACCTGATTTCTTTCAGAACGTAAGCAACACTTAGAATGCAAATGTAAAAATATTCGTTTCTCCCAATGTAATGTAGATGGGTTGCGAGCAACAGAGGTGTGTGTCTACTATCCATTTAACCGACCTGGCTATTTGATCATAGCTTGGTATAAATGACTAGCACAGTTTAGCGAGTCACCCTTAGGTAATATAAAAACGGCAATTTTTTCAATAAGCTCTCTGAACTACTTTAAAGTAGTATAAATATAATGAGGCAACATTCTATATTTGCCTAGCAACAGAATAACTGATATTGTTCATCCAGTTTGTATATTTCAATTTCAACCTTATCCTCATTTTTTAGTACAAAGTCAAGAGAACCTTTTGTTTCCGATGAAATCGTATACGTGCACATAAGTACAATTCAACGATTCTTTTGTAATAAATTGGGATGTAACGTAAAAAAGTGGAAGTGACATTTTTTTCATTTCAGCCCTATTTTAAACATTATAGACAAGAAAGAATAGTGAACCACCAAAACAAAGGATGGAGATAAAACTGTAAATTAATTATCGCTTTTAAACATCAGGATTATAGGTTATCTATAAAAACGTAATTCCTAATGACCTGATGATGTTTGTTTTTTCGTGAATCAAACGGAAATCTCTTGTCCTTTATGAAATCTCCTGTGGAGAGGATTTTTTTTAATTATGAAAATCCATACATATATACACAGAATGTATGTAGGACAAAAATATTTTCACTGAATTAAGTGGTTAAGGCATAAAAAACACTATTTGATCTATGTGTACATAAAAAGTGGTCATCATGTAGTGGATTCTGAGATTTACGTGATTATGTTTGGTTGGGAGAGATATTACTATCCTACTGAGCAATTCTATTCTGTGAGATTTTTTAGAGGAAACGATTATTACTGTCTGTGGATAAATAGAAGGTGAAATGTCAGACAGTAATGCGAAATAAATAAAAGATATTGTAATTTGACAAATTCATAGATGAATTCGATATGTTATCAATTACGAATTTATACAACTTTTGTTGTCATATTATTTACAAAATTAACACCATGAAATAATACTTTTTGGGTTTTTACGTAGAACGGGACCTTGACAAAACTACTGTAATACAAATGTATGAAAGTTCGTTAGTGGTCTGGGAAAAAAACAAAAGTCAAGAAATTTCAATAGTTCTTAAGTCATTGTTATTAGCTATGCTACTTTCTTATAAAATATATTCAGAATTTACTTAGTAGTGTTTGTTTGAATCTTCCCATCGATGTTTTTAGGACTGCAACTGGTCAGTCTCTAATTGGTATATGTGCATACTGTGCGTATTGCCTCGATATAGCCTAAATTCACAAGCATGGTAAGCAAAGATGGATAGTGGCTAGCAGGTGAATCCAGGATGCGCGTTTGCTCCAATTTGGGACTCGTCCGTTGGATGTATATGCATCTCAGAGTTGACGTTCACTGTGGGATTGGAACCCAGTACCGTTCGCTTCAAACGCCATCGCGTTATCCACTCGGCCACTGAGTTTGAAGCGAAAGGTACTGGGTTCGAGTCCCAGAGTGAACATCAACTCTGAGATGCAGGTACATCCAGCTGACGAATCCCAAATAGGACGAAACGCGCGTCCTGGATTCCACTGCTAGCCACTATCCATCTTTGCTTACTATATTCAGAATTGTCTAAGTGAAATTCTAAATCCAAAACATTGAGATTAGGAACAGGATCATGAAGAGGACTAGACATTCATGAAACGAAAATTATTCATCCAACTTCATAGTTAATTTTCTCATTTACTACTTGATATATCGTTGAAATTATAAAGCGATCTAAATTAGACCAGGTTTTCAACAGTGGTCTAACTTAAATGGGTTAATGATTTTAATGATATTAACAATTCCTTATTGAAAACCTAGTGTACATTAGTAGACAGAGAAGTGTTGACTGTTAGTTTACTGGACTTTTACACAATAAATTTGTTGACTTTTTATAGCTTGCTTATATTCGCTGAAATCATTTTGTAACTTACAATCTATACATCCATTTCACATTAAATATACTGTTTTTTATCACTATACCTAGTTTTAATTTATCTTTCATTAAAAATCGATTATGAAAGAAAATTTCTCTCGAATTCATTAAACATGTAAAGCGTTTGCATCATGAAGAGTTTCGTAGTCTTTGGATATCTATTTAATGACTAACTGTGACAGCTCTATATCCTTTTTTATTAAGAATTTCGCTAGCGGTTAAAAAGAAAAATATGTATGTTACTATTCAAAACATAAAAACGGTAATATATAGTTTGGTGGTGTAATATTCAACAATGGGCAATCAAGGTTAGGAAATAGACATTTACTGAACAAATTTTATATATTGAATATTTAGGCTAGTTTCTCAAGTTTACAGAAAACTATATCGATGTTAGATGTTTATGTCACTAATCAATGGATTTAAGTTAGATTTAAATTTCCGAGAAAGAACAGCGAACATATAATGACTGGAGCTTATTCTCCTTAGAATTCACTCAAAAGTGTTCAATTGTTACCGTTATTATCCGATACATGGTTTTGCCTAAAAAGTATGTCTGTTCGTAGTAGCACCACTCACTGGTGATTGCAACTGAACTTCATTCTATATATATCCATTCATCTCGGTAAATCATTCTTTTTCTTATGGTAATAAATTACACTTCTAGCATATTTATATGTATCAGGTCAAAGAGCAGAAAATGATCAACTGTATCGTAGCAAGATTACTTTTTAATTATGGTTTAATGTTAAATGAACATAGTTGAGAAAAATCAGAGTGATGTAGTCCTTTTGTTCTATCATAGTATATTTTTTCAATATCATGAGTCTCCCAGAATTTACGAAATTCTATCCAACAATTTCACATCAAATACTGGTCATAATATGTTAGGAATACTCAACCGACTATGTCTTCGAACGCAAATCAAATTACACCCCAAGTTGATCCAGTCTATCGACAACAGTCAATGTTATGCCTTTAATAGCGTATGGAATAAGATCAAGTGATCAGAAAATATTTTATGTTTGGACAACTTTTCAATTAGTAACAGTTTAACTCGAAAGTTAATTAATCATTCATGATTTCAGTTAATGACCTTTTTTGTGATGTAAACAAACAGGATGGGACCACTATTTGTCATTCACTAGTATCAGTTTAATTTACACATAATATGCTCATAATATTTTAACGGATAACAGCCGACCTACTATAAAGAAACTGACTAAATTTTGTATTCCGTAGAAAAAACTGAGCCACAAATCAAAACTGTATCATAACTTAGTTTTTAGATTGTGATTACACTTAAAAAGATGTTAAACCGAAAAGTCGCCAGTTTTTTTCACATACCGTAGCAGTTGGATATCTTTAGGGAATAAACTATAATTAGGATCTGTCCGTATAACAGTCAGCGCAAGAAAAGTAACGACAGAAAAACTATTGTTGTCTTTTACAACTAGTTTATGCTCTCATTAACTTTTTACAGATATTGCTAAATAGTTCACTAGGTAATATTGGACATATTCAGGTAGTTGAATAATAGATAAAAAAAGTGTTGATCATGAAGTTTAATGGTTGAATGATTCTTTTTTTAACAGATTTTCAACATTATAATTTCCGACTATAACTAAAAATCACAAAATTATACAAATAAATGAGGAATATTGACTATTCAGTCCTGTTTCTACTAACATGTACAATAGTATGCATGAAAGATGGAGATGAAATTATCAAATAATCTTTTCGTAGTTGAAATCATGAGTCAATTGAATAATCTTTTGCAACACTATGCATAACAACACAAATTGATTATTATATATAACAATAATGAACTTAATAAGAAAAGAATAACAATCGTAATGAAATAGTATACACTGATCTATTTATACAATTCTCTTCTTCTTCCCCTAGTAACAATCTAAATTCGACAGTATTAATTCATTCAATAAATGGATGAACTTATTTCAGATGATGTTTACACCAAAGGTTTCATCAAATTTGAGGACAATGTAAACGTGGATTAATTAACGGTGACAAATGTAGAATAATTCTGGAAATTGTTCATCAAGTTGATGATTGAAAATTTTAAGTGAAGAAAATCATGAAAATAAGCTTTCAAAAAAATAAATAAATAAAATAAATATCCTAGATTACTTAGTAGCAACTATAAAATGGTTAGAGTTTCACAGTAGAATGAATGAAAATTCGATCATTAATGTAAAGGAATTTATATATATATATATATATATCAATGCAATGAATTATGAAGACTGAGATCCCTAAGCCAATTAAACATTAATTGAAGTATCCTCTTGAATTCGTAAAATTGGTTTGAATTTATTATCCCTATAGCCTCATGAAAATGAAGTAAATTTAAACTAATTTTCTCAATCATTATTTTAAATTGCCGAATATCACGCTCACTATCAAACGAATGACAAACGATGATAATGTAGAGAACATTTTTCAATTTTAGTTTTCATGCGATGCGTCTTAAGTTTAAATTATTTCTATTAAGCATAATTCCTTTTTGCTATTCTTTAAAGTTATCAGTCAGTTTGAGTTGTTTACCTAAAGAGATTGTTTTTGTTTTATCTTCAACTATGTATTGAAGTTCGAATGTCGAATTTTATTCTAATGACAAAGAGTTCAGTGAACTATTCACCGTTTATTATATTGCATGGAGTTACTCATTTGTACAATATAGAGCACATCAAATGCCGGTTATGAATTCAGTAAGGTGTGTAATTGATTAGTTTTTTTTTCAGCCAAAGATCAACTTTCAAGTTTGTAGTAATTTTGTTATTTTCTGTACCCATCGAAACTAATTCATTCACCAACGGTAACATGTATATTGAGCCTCAAAATAGTAGATAGCTGGCTGTCAGTTAAATAGACATTTAATAATAATAATTAATGGCTTTATTCAATATTATAATCTGGTACAATATAGAATTCTCAGCATGAGTTATTTCAACAAGTTTTTTTACCAAAAAAAACACAAAACAAAATAACCAGTAGCTACTGCGCCACCACAGGTCTTTTTATTGTTTGATCGATCCTGACGATAGATATTAAGATCACGTAATGATACTAGGCAATCATCCTGTAAGTCAGTCAACCAACATTCTTGAATTGTGATGACACCGCAATTACGATACATGTTTTGACTTAGCAGAAATTGGAGATAGTCCACCTTGTTAATTAGAGATCGACAGTTAGAGTTAAGCAGCTCGGGAATCGACATTTGATTAATGTTTATTCTCTCTAAAGCATATTGCCAAACACCACAATGTCTCTTATTGTACTTGTTTGTAATTTTTGCAGCGAAAGGACGTAAGCTTTTCATAAACGCGCCTGTATAGGTTATGCGATCAAGAGACATAATGATAGGTTAAAACCAACCTTTAAAAAACCCAGATAACTTGTTGAAATATTTAGATGGCAGAAACAGGTAGCCCAGGGATTCAAGCAGGCCGCCATATCATAAAGTTAATAATAAACATCATACGACAAGTTTCCTGGTTTAGAGCTTAATTTAGCAAGCTTTATGTATGAATACAATTTTAAGAAGTCTTTATATGCAGCATATAAGAAGCAATAACAAAGAAGCTGTAAATCTTATTGATAATTTGTTAGTTGTTCTCAAAAGTTTGAACGATTCAATAGACCAAGTTTAATTCAGAAGAAAACGATTTATAATTTTTAATCTATGACTAGCTTAATCCCTTACTTATGTGAGCAGATAATCTTTAAGAAAGAAAGCTAAATTGTACCGAAAGTAGTTGACTGTAATCCTGCCATTAACGTTTAGTATTTAAAGATTATTAATCAACAAAAGGAAGATAATTCTTGATCACTTGTCTTTTAAAGAAATGACGTAATTCTAAAAAAATACAACTTGGCTTTCTAAAGGTAAGCAGAATTTTTATTCTGTTGTCTGTTCCAAGGTGGACGAGCAGACAACATGTAAAATATTTCTATGTCATCAAAATTGTCTTGAAATTCAACTGGCTCTTACCAACGTCAGAATGACCGAATGTATCTTTCTTAGATAAAATTAATATTCTAAGTGAAATACTATGTCCATTACTTCTAAATACTAAAAATTTTCTTCAATTATACATGAAGATACTTCTTTGATTTTGACTTAAATAATCTTGATTGATGCTAGTTTTCCAAAGTTTAAAGAACGGTATATATGTTTTAAAACGCATGCTCTACGAAATTCCAATGAAAACTAATTAGATTCTATAATATGAAGCTATTAAAATTTGTTACAGTTAACTTTGTTAATTAAAGTATATTCATTTAAGCGGGGATTTCAACGGTATGATTTACTCATCCACTTTTGTACTTCACAGATTTTTTATTTTTATTGATAGTACTCTAGTTTTTTTCTATTCCTAGATGCATAAGAATAAAGCTGTTCAAAATAAGCACAATAATTCGCTTGAATTCTGCTCAGACTCTTACTGATCGATCTGATTCAAACTGCTCACGAGTTTTTAGCCAAAATGATTACGTTTACAAATCGGAAGAGTCTTACATATTTTGATGATTCTGTATATGAGTAAAGAAAAACTTGAGTTTGTTCCCTCGATTTGGGCGATTAAGTAATCAAATAACATCTGAGAGCCAAATTGAGCATTGAGTAGTGTTTAAGGTATAACTACGATGAAGTTAAATACAATGCACAATTTTGGCAATAAAAAAGAAACTCTACAAATATATTATTCCTATTTAATGCCTTACATCAACTCAGAGCTCAAATACTGTGAAACTATTCGCTCTAATTTAGACGAAAGTTCTTATATCTTCATTTATTTACTTACACTTAAGTAGTCTATTTTACATTTTTTTAAAATTTATTCTTGTACTGTATATACTAGTGAAACAGTTTCAAAATCGGTGGTGCATGAATAGTAATTTTGTTTGATAGGAATATATTTGAGTTGATTTTGCATTTACATAGCAGTAAGATGTTGAACTGTTATAGGAGTAACAATAGGAACCTTTTTGATATATACAGACAATATTTGCTAACGTTAAGGATAAAGTGAATAAAAAGGGGTATATAAATCCACTTATAAATAAATTAAAAGGGGATCAATCCCACAATTGTTATTACCATATTTGCAGATTAGTATATAAATATATGTTTACAAATTTCAGTTAATGAAATAATAAATAGAGGGCTGAGCATGACTGCTTTATTTCAACCCAGAAATGGTCACCGATAGTATTAGTAGTAGTCCTAGTACCAGTAAACTATGAGTATACGATTGATTATTTGGGAAAAAACTTTGCATAATTATGAATCTCTTTTAAATGAGGACTGTTTGTATTTATTATATTTTCATTGAAAACTTAAACTTATTTCAACAATCAAAATATTCGCAAAAATATATCTTAAATATTCTGATGTATATTAGATCACTTTTCAATATTTACGTGTATCCGTAATGTTCAAGGAGTAAATTTGAATGTACACAGGAAAATATATGGATATTATTATGTATTAATGTATAATTATTTTAATAGTTGAGATCATAAATCAATTGAAGCTAGACCACCATGGAAAACCTGGAAGCACTGGAAGACCGTTTCGTCCTATTGTGGGACTCCTCAGTAGTGGGCAATTCTGTAAAGAATAGTAATAATTCTTCTATTTAATGTATATGATTATCTTTTCAGAGGTGAAACAATACTTGAGTGTTCAATTGGATTTTTACATCCACAGTCGTTTATACATTAAATAAATATTATAACTATTAGTTAATTAAATAATAGTAATAATAATAGAAGCGAATTTGTTTTATCAATAAATGATCCTATGTATATAATACAATGGTACAGTTAAACGATTAACTCACCAATAAATGAACGTAGATATTCATTATAATAACTTGAATAAGTGTTTTGCATTATTTCACTAGTAAACAGTTATGTCAGTAATAACAGTATGACAAAGTCAAGCGGGAGTTTATTGTTTCTCCAGTAGAAAGAGAATTAAATCAGATGAGATTAATGAAATTGTTCGTTGAAGTGACAGTGTTTGGTTATGAGCACTAATAAATAGTTGAATGAATATCACAACTACTTCCGATATGATTTGATAATGTTGACGTTTTGACGTACTCGAATATATATATATATATATATATATATATATATATATATATATATAGATAGATAGATAGATATAGATATATATATATACCTTGGCCAAATCGGTCACGCTTTATTATCCCTCTCTTAATCAGTGACTTTTTGTGCACTATGCCAACTGTTATTCTGTCCTATTATTACTCCTACTTACAATTTATTGGAGATAGTGCTGATAGTGAATATTTTATAGGCAAAAGGGGAGAAAATTTGTCAGTAGACTGGGTGCAGTTGGATATGATTACAAATGTGCGTATGTATGTGTGTGTACGCTTGATGGTGTTTGGATATGTATGTACATATATTTCTAAATACCATTTTCCTGTAGCTGTACCGATATACATACAAATAATCTAGAATAACTGAATTACCGTATTGTGTCCTATCCCGAGTCAATTTTGTAATTGCTGAAAACAGTATTAGTATCAGTGATTATGATTATCATATACAAATTTCGGAACTTCCAATCTCTTCATTTATTTCCTATTCACCTATTACTTTTGTTCTACTGAATACCTAGCAATTGGGGAAATATATTCAAAAATCAAACAACCTGACAACCAGTAAATTTTAAAATTCTCTGCCAACGTTTTTGTAAGTAATGATATTTCAATATTAGTGTATTACAACCATGATTGTTAAAATATTATACCAATACAGTAAGCTTTATATGTAGCTTTTGTACTGTTAGTTAAGCACAAGAGTTTATAAAATAATACACTGAATCAGTAAACTCTACTTAAGATTTTAATAATACCATACCATTGATTTCAAGGTCTCTGAGGATAAAGTACATGATGAACACATTTATCATCACACCGGAGTTAATCTAAAGTGACATAGATGTCACCAATATCACTCGATAGTAGTAGTGTTATATTAAGAACTGAGTGAAACAAGGAACGTGAACCACCAAATTAGTGATCCAGAGGTAATTCACTTAAATGTCTTACATGTCTCCTGAGGGAGGAGATAAGTGTACTCTATTGAAAAGTCCCATACTGGGACGAAATACTTATTCTATGGTTCTTATTATTCAATGGCCTTACAAGTGATGTCAGTCTGCTATTATTGTTGCCTCCAAATCGAGCAATCTCCATATACCTTGTTTTCAAAGGAGGCGCAATATTTCATACAGATCATATCTAACTGACCTAATCAATGATTTTTGAAAACATTTGGTGATTCAAACCATCGTCTTTCGAACGAGTTGTTTTACAGTTTGCCAGTAAGGAATGATTAAATGTCTGGTTTGGTTATAATTAGTAACCACACATTTTTCTACTATCTGCTCTGTAATTTCATTGGATAGGTATAACATGCATGATTTTCCAGCTACTATAAATGACCTTGGTTGGGCTTTATTCGTAGCTACATGGTCTAGCGCACTCTATTGTTGTTTACTCAACCAAACAAATATGGTACTATTCGTTGATGCATTTATCTATACTTTATTGGAGCGAAAAACAAGATTTAGTGGATAAAATGTTTACAAATGTTCCCCTTGGCTTTCATAGTGTCTTCTATTACCATTTCCGGAACCCATTCAAATAAAGATGAATTTACATAAGTCAATATTATAATTCATTCATAAATATATACATCAAAATGTAAATAAATAGCTGATGATTCAAAGGATGAGACGGAACCTAAAACTTACGAATTATTTCGTTTCTCCAGGCATGAATGTATTTCAAGCTCATTCTCAGAAATTATGAAATACTTCTAAAACGGTATTTTAAACAAAAGTTTAATGCTTTTATAGATCTCTCATGATCTGATGACACATTATAAAGTAATTTGTTTCAATATGGATTCTGCAATATTAGGGTTTGCACGAAGTTTCAAAATTAATATTTAGATAAAAGTGAAGTGTGGAATTTCAATTCCTTTATTTTTGTTGCCTCAGAGTCTCAAAATGTTATCAGTCTGATTGATTGTTGTGTTTAAAGCAGGGACTACTCGACCACTGATCAAATATTTCAACAACTGAGTTGTAAAGTATAATTGTTGACTTTTGTCGTAATCAGTCAATTATATTCCAAGCTACAGAATGAATAAGAGATTAGTGTTCGGTTGAATTTTAAGGTAGGTTTATTTATTTTTGCGAGACTATAAGGGGTAGATGTACTTCTGAAGCGAACTTACAACTTGGTCAAAAGTCCAGTTTTATAATTCAGTCTTTAGTTGCAATTTCGTAACCACCCCTATTGTTTTATATAATTATATTTGTCTTTTTAATATGAAGAATCGTTACAAGGTAATTTAATAAACAAAAATATCCTAGAAATCTTACTTCTTAATTTCATTTTTTTTAATCGAAATGTGACATCAGATTTTCCAGGTATTCGATTACCAGCTACGAGCTTACGAGTAAATGATGATTTTGAACTATGCTGTGATAACAAGCGGGAATCAATGAGAGTAATAAATATACTTAAAAAACTGTTAAGTTAAAATTACGTAAAATAAGGGAAACAACACAAAGGAGTGAACAAGGCAAAGTAACTTTCATTACAAATACTGACACGAAGCAAGGGATAGGAATGGTTCGCTAACCTTTATCAAAAAATGGTAAGCAAACGAAAACTTTACTCCAGATAATACCGAGTTACCTTTCCTCATTTTAAAGTCAGGCCACTACTATCCGGAAGACTGTTCAAATCAAAAATTCATTGTGTATAAATCCTCTGATTCATGCTACATGAATTTATTATTCCCCCTAACATGTAACATGCAAAATAGAGTAGTGTTTGCATTATTCGTCCTAGTAAAACTTCTCCGTTTTCATTTTATAGAGCTTACTTGAAATTTATCGTTTAATGCTAGGTGGTTAAAGACTATCGTCATAAATCTCAAAACTGATGCTCCCAGTGGTACGCTAGCTTGGACTATATGGAACATCGGTTCATCCAGTATTTCAAAAATAATTAGCAAGAAACCAAGGTTCAAGAGTTTTTGTCGTTCACGTCCAGCTATCTTACATCAAGAAGTATTATGTGTATTATCGCATCACCTGGATTAATTTCTAGGCCAAAACGTGGTCGACAAAATTAAATCAGTATTAAGAATTTTTTTAAAAGTATAAGCTTCTTTATTACTCAGTGACCAGTGAATAAAGATACTTCTGTTTTTTAAACAGATCCTTGAAGAATAAAAATTAATTTCTGAATTAACCGAATCAAATTCTTTATTTTTAAACATCTGGAACAAGTCTTTTTGCTAGCATATCACATAACGAGGATTAAGAGTGTAGCGACGTACTATTCAGTCATACGAATAAAGGCTTATACGAGAATCTGGTTTCCGTTCCCGGATACCTAGAACTAATTAATCTAGGAATTTTGTAAATACTGTTTAATATCACTAGGAATCTCATTCTGTAGCTTGAGTTAAATAAGATTTTCAGGCAGTTATGTAATAACTACCGATTAGTAGTTCCATGATGGGTTTTTTGATTCGTTATCGTTTACTATTTAATAAAGTATGTAATGTGTCAGAATTTGTTCCAGACACTCAAGATTTAGTTTCTAGGGTTGGATAGCCGTTATTTAACAAGTAGTTTTATGCAAACTTCTCAAGTTCAATCCTGTTCATGTTTTATCGATGTATTAATAGAGTGACGGTGAATTCAATTTGCGAATGTAATATCCTTAAATAAAATATATCTCACACTTCAGTCACACAAATGTCATGTTTTCTCGAATAGCTATAGTTCATTATCAGTTACCACGTACAACATGAAGTGGATCATTAATTTCGAACAGTTCCAGATACTCTGCTCATCTGTTGAACTAGTAATGTTCAACTTAAAACATTCTGCTGTAATCAAATATTATATGATATGAATACTGACTAACCTGTAATGTAGGTTATGCGGTTTTATGTGCTTATTCATTTTCGGTAATTAATAAATTAGTCAGGACCAGTTTTGCTGGGAGAGGAAGAAATTGTCTTTGTGAATAATTATAATAATAATAATGATAAGTGCAGTAATAAAAATGATAATAGTGCTAGTAACAACATGAACAACTGTTCACAATAACAGTGGACCGATTTTTATCGAGTTACATTCATACATGTACATAAAAAAATGCGAGCGGATACATACACACACATGCAGACGCTTTTGGGGTTCATTCATTTGCCTTCACATAATTCCACCTAATGCATAAATAAGGTGGAAAAAACAAAAAGAACAATTTTTTTCTCTCACTTTCCTTGTATACCTATTTAGTAGAATTAACTACACCTGATCCATAGATATCGTGTGTTTATGTGCATGTGTACATCAACCACTTTCTGCATCATATATAGTTGCAACCTAGATTATAACTTGTCAGCTGTTTTTATTCTTCGAAATCTTACTTGAAAACTGAGAAAGTTGGGAAACCGCTAACCTGAAATATTTCTTTAATGATAATGCATAAAATATATACATCTATGGGGTTATAAATTGACAGACTAGTTCATTAGACTTTAGAGACTGAAAATTTGTTTCATTCAGATCACTAAACGTGACAAACTACATCACCTGTTATCTTTCGTTTTTGGGTTTGTTCGTGCATTATACTATCCACTGTTACATGCGTACAAGTTACTCTGTTCACCTCACCACTAGTTTGTGGCATGAACACATAGTGCGTGTATGTGTATAATTGAGAGAAAAATAGGTAAGTAAATGTTAGCCTTTGCACATTTGTTACATTAAACAACTTGTCAACTAAGAAGGTATAGTAACATTCCCTCTGTTAATAAGT